AGGACTATTGGCGAGGAACCAAAACAATGACATGACCTTGGAATTATCATTATCAGGGACTAAACTATGTACAAATAACACCGTCTCAGATAACCTTCGACAAAAGAACACTACTATGTTGGGATCATCTTTGGAAAAAACACTCTAAGATTTGAGGTCAACAAAGATTAACCACAAAAAAAATAAAATGAACTTGGGACCACCAGTGATGAAAGAAACACAAACAACATTTCTGACACTGACTTGGAACTGTCTCTCACGTAGGAAAAAACTACCAGCAAATTACAAAAATTATACAAAAGATATTTATCTGAAATATTGCCCATTTTTTATATTGATAATCAAAATCAGACAATTGTAGGTGGATTTTTTTTGTTTTTTGCACTGCATCAGTTTCCCCTAAACTACCAAAAAAATAGAAATTTCAGATGAGAGTAAGCATTTCAACATTATGGCAGTCGAATAGGCTTGAAACAAATAAAAACAACAGTCAGTTCAAAGGGACAAGATATAAGATAACAGACCCCATCAACCACAAACACCCAATTCATGTTCACTAAAATCAAATCAAATAAGAATAAGACAGCGCACATTCTCTTGAACCATGATGACCCTCCAAATATATGATAAAACGAGCATTTGATCTAGAGCTATGGAGCTCACCAATAGCCCATTTAGAATCACGCTGGGATACATAGTGAATGGCCTTAGTTCTAATCTTCAATGGGACTTCGATAGAGTTGGGGACTTTTTAAGCCTTTCCACCAATTTGGATTGGTCAAATCAAAGAGATGAATGGTAAATTTGATAGTCCCATCTGTGTTGAAAGCGGCATTTAACCAATACAATTTTACAATGTTTTCTTGAAGAAAGTTGTTTTGACAAAATAATACTTACATTCCTCACAAACAAAATATTCTGTGTCCAAATACTGACAGCATAAAGTTCAAAAGATGCCCAATGTAAGGGTGCGAACAAGTTAAACTAAATTTTCCAAAACCTTATATTTCAAAGTTCCAGGAAGAAAAGAAATTGGATTGAACAACCTCTTCCAAAGACTAAAAGAGAAGTTTGAGGAACTGATATAAACCAATATTCCTACCTCACTTGGATTTTTGGACAATAAAATGGCATCACAACAAAACTTGAACAAAAAGAGCTCCCACAACATCATGCAACCAACCGGAGGTTTTGAACTGTTGCTCCATAAACTTGTACAAATTCTTCGAAATTCAGCAGGCCTTTTCATTCTAGTTTTAGTAAGAGTTTTACAAACCACACCAGACTACCCGCTAACAACCCACAAGCAGAGGACACTACAGGGGCTCTCTGATGTCGAGCAAACAGCAAACCAACTAATAAAAAAAAGAGCTGGAGAAGGAAAGAAAAATGGTAGAATTTCCAGACTGCAACATGTAACCAATTCATCCTTTCGGCATTCAGCAGGCACAAGGCAGACAGAAGATGTGAAAACAAAAACAAAACCTCTTTTTTTGGTTGTGTCATACATGCATTGTCAAAACCACACTGGAAACAGACACACACACACACACACACACACAGAGGAAGGGAGAGGGAGAGAGAGAGAGAGAGATAGGGGGGTTTTGCCAAGTTTCAACAACATTAAAAAATTTAATATAATAGAACAATATATAACTCGCCAGTAATACGAGTGAGTTTTCCAAAGATCACATACACAGTCAGGATCAGGCTCAACAAAGGGGAAGTAATACCTGGGTCGTACTCACTATTTTTGCATTAAATTATTCTGAACATTTGACCATGGTAGTTGGCTTTCCTTCTACATCCAGAATTTCAAGTCATAGGGGCCCGTCCGAAAAGGTAGAGGGAAGGGTATGACGCTTGCTTTAAGTTGAAAGTCATTGCATATGCGGATTAAATCAATCTCACTGCAACAACCAACAGTTCTAAAAAAATAAGACTCCACAATGTCTGAATCCTGACTAGTTAACTAGTACTTCACTTACTGCATGTTGAAACCCCTCCAGCATATTAGAAATGCACTCCGCATTATACGCCCAGTCTGCGAAAATAGGCAGCAAAGGAGGAAAAGTATACCCCCTGTATTATACAATAGAAGGTCATGTTACAGGTCAGAATATTGATGGATTATTTATGAATGATTTTGATTTTTTAAATTTTTTATTTGAGGCCACGTTACTTGTGATATAACTAAAAACTGAAATAGGAGGAATAAAAATGATCAAATCAAAAATAAAGAAAGCTTTGGCAGGGCTTGGGGCATCTTTCTATAGAGCACTGTTTCTCTCTGTAAACTGTAACAGGTTCAGTCCTACATATCTCTTAGTCATGTACACAATCCATCCCAGGTCTAGGCCTATTTCTGTGCTATTGCACTGGTTCATGCTTACCACCATCCTCTTCCATCACTACTCAAGCTATCAGTATCGCTGTCACAGGATATCCCTGCAAAATCATCATCTAGGTCACCGTCATCTGATTTGAACCCTTCAAATTTCTACGGGTTTTAAGGCAAAAACATGACAGCCCTGACAGCGGATCGGCCATTCTTGACACTGAAATTATCTTGACCAGGGTCAACTGAAAACACCAGGTGTCTTGTGTATTCACTGGCCAAATAGAAAGTATTTCCATTGTTCAGCAGAAGTCCCTTGGTCAATTTAGCTGTTGTAAAGTTTTCACTATGGAATCTGTACATAATGGTTGATAATGACACCATTTCCAGAGTACAAAACTACTCTGCCATAAAATCAGCTTGAGCAGCCCAGTTACAATTGGAAGGGTGAAAAATCAGCCATCATGTGAGAAATAAGTTTAATACTCAACAAATCAGAAAACACTGAATATAATAACCATTGCTAACCTGAGATGTAAAAAATACAAATGGGCATGGGGCTAATGAAACTGAAAAATTTATTTTAAAATTTAAAATGTGAGACTTGACATGGCCAATACTCTGAAACAATGTCAGTCATGCGACTTAAGAACATTAGAATCTTACCTGGTACAATGTCTTCAGACACATACAATGCAACACAAGAACAAATAGGTGAAGTGTTTTTGAGTTTAGCCTTGGGACACACTGCAAACAAACATCAAAGTAGTACTGGTGTGTGGGGTGTATATGATGAGCAAAACCAATTTACTGAAGCTGTACAAGAATATGTCGCTAGAAATTTTCTCATAATAATGACCAGCCCTTCATAGTGGGCCTATAGCCCACTCATTCATCCTGTGACTAATCAAATTAAAGCCAGCAACTAACATTTAAGGAGCAAAACTGCATACCACAGTGAGATGTGGAGAAAAATTTCCATTTCTTGATCCGTCTTCATTCAAAACAAACTATTACTTGTTTAGAAAACAAAAATGTTGAGGGCTTGCAAAATTTGATATTAAGGATATGGACAGCTTGTGATCCTGTGACTGGCATGAGACAGTCTCTAGCAACATAATTGAAGGGCAGGGTGCAGGCTGATACCATTTACGCACTTGTGAAACCAGCAGTCAATCATTGAACTTTTAGACCCCTAGTATAGGAAAAACCTAATGGATTTATAGAATCATGTATTATGCGAAGAAAGAGGCTTGAGATTCTACATAGCAGACTACAACCAGTCTGCTGTAATAAATCCAACACGTGACTATGCACATGGCCAGTGTGTCTATGTACAAAATGGAAGTCCATAAGATGGCCATTGTATAGGGCTATGGTGACATGTAGCCGCATCAGTCCCTGCAGCCTATAGAGACACGTATTCATGACATTTATGTACATTGATCAGTGTAGTTGAACATTTGAACAGTTTTCTACACACAAGTTATTTCAGGTTGCATGCTTTCATGGGTAAATTCAAGTAGGCCTACCTGAAAGTTTGCATATAATTTTGTTTGGATTCAAGAGCAGAGCACGACTACTTACACATCAGGATGATAGATCAAAAAGAAGCAGTCCTATCCAGCCTCACAGTAGCTTGAATGACAGAGAAGGAAAAGGTTGAAAAGTCAACTATGAGATGAAAAGTTGTGGACAAACAAGACTTCCGACTTCCATGTCCATCCTTACACAATCTACACAGCAAGAGAAGTAACCATCTGACTTTGTACTTGAGCCAAAGAGCACAACACAGCCCACATTCAAGAGACAGAAGTTCATCAGTTGGACAAAAATAGAGACAAATTTAAAACAACTAGTTTGAAAAGAATCACACTCAAAGGGTCATCACGTAGGAATTTGAGAACACTCTATATACATATTTCAAAATGTCCCTGTTTTGTGGAAAAAAAACCCACTTGTTCCAATATACCCTATAGTATAAATAAGAACATAACAGACAGGCAGTCACAAAAGTCCTAAGCCTATTAGATCTGAAGTCAATGCATCGGTAATGGGTACGAATACAATGCTTCAGCACTAACAGAAACAAAAAGTTCATGTTTCCGTTTTTCTAATTGAGAATACATGGCTCTTAGAGAACAAAGAAAGAAAAGTTTGGGTTTAAACACCAAGCAATCAATTGTTCGAATTTGAAAATCACACAACAATGAAACATCATTCTTATTTAAAGCACTTCTACTTCTGATTTGTATTTATCAAATCAATACTGTACCTTCCTGAACTTAAACTACCATAATACACTTATTCAGCAAAAACCCATTACTATTTACGGTATATTGTCATTTGTTTTACCCACATGGGGAGATAGCACACTTACATGTGTGGAGGGAGAAAACAGAATCCCACTTCTTATACTGGCGCACTGATTTTTTAGAAAACATGAATCAAAACCTCTGTATATCGTTAATAACTCATGAAACTTCCATGGTGTACTTGTAACACTTACAAACAAAACTCAGATTTTTTTGAAAAGTAGAAACCAAACATTACACTTTTGTCACTATCCTCAACAGTCACCACCATGACTGCGACAATGCGCTGAAGGTGTAGACGGAATCAACACAATGACTACAAGAGCATATGTTATTTTTTCAAAGCCATTCAACTATCAGACCATCCTTTTAAAAAACCACAAACAAGGTATGAGACTTTGTAAGCATTAATATGTATGATAAAAAGAATTATGTCAATACAATATCAGTCACTTAATCATTGTAAAAAAAACTAAAATATATAACTAAAAGAAACCAAGACAGGATAGCAAAGATGTAGAGCTGCTGACCAGAAATGTCAACCATCACTGGCATTCGCATGAATGTATGTTAACCCCTTCGTGACACAGGGTCATTTTGTGCTCTCCAGGGGCAAAGAGCAGCGCTAGATTTAGGGGTCAGTTGCCTATAATTAGACCCTGTTAGTTTAACTACTATCTCTAAAAGGCTAAGATTTCTTTCAATGGGAAAAAATATCGCTGAATAGGAATCTGCGATTAGCTTCACTAAATTCATGTACTACAAGAGGTATGCAGAATACAACCTATAACGAACAGCATTCGTCATCATGGTTCTCCAGCTTCACTAAGCATGACGAACGCCATACGTCACAGCAGCGTCTTAGCTCCTTCGCCGTATATGACTAACGGTGTACGTCACAAAGGTCAGGAAGGGGTTAATGTAAGCAGTAACTTTACTAACCCACCATTGCCTACCAAATTTCTGTAAGCATAAATGAAGCATTATGAAATATTTTTGTCCGTTCCTTTAACTTGAGCCATGTAACAACCCCATACTGCCCACTTTAGGCAATAGCTGTGTCAGGATACTTGAATACCAGTACAGATATCTGAGACATAGGTCAGGAAAATCGATGAAAAAATGGTTAACATGCAAGATTATTAGTGGTAAATACTTAGATCAATCAAAAAGAATGGTACAAATACATAATAAATGTGCCCCCTGTCGCAAAAACTATGCAACTAAAGAACACAACTGACGTTTCGCAGACATTACTTTCTATGATGTGAATGTTTACAATCAACTAGAGATACAAGTAAAAGCATCCGGACCTATTTTAATCAGGTCATAATCACAACAATGTGCATTTCACAGTATAACTAAAATGCATACACATATTTATATATTTATATAAAAAAACATTCTTTAAAAAAGTAAAAAGGCTATAACTTTGTCATATTGCACTTGCCAAGTGAACATGTCTGTACTAATACAATGTGTGGAGTAAACACATGAAAACACTGTTTTCATCTCAGACATGATAAAACCCAGAACCATCAATAAACAAACAGCGTACACACAAGAAAACACTTGCACGGAAATGGCGGAGGAGGAGAGGTAAGCAAGACAAAAAAAGACATAACAAACAAGAAAAAAACACTTCAGGCCACACAAAGCTAACACTGCAAAGTCATCCAAAAATCAGAAAATTTGGTTGACATGGCTAGCTTGAAAAACAGTTTTGACTTTTGACTCTCATCTCGTGAAGCATAATGGAAGAAACTGGTTAAAGTTACTTTCCTGTTCCCCACACACAGACAAATCACTCATGAAAATCTGGTAATTAATTTCTTCTACTTCCAATTCCTCACAATCAAGGAAGCAAAACGCTCCGGCTTTTGAAAAGAAGTCCATATTCATTCCTGCTCCACTTTTAACATAACTAGTTTTTCCTAAATTTCAAAAGAGGCAATAAAAGTCAGTCTCATTTTGAAAGATAGAGCTGACAAACTCTATAATTAAGTCATCTTGTAAAGGAGTAAGTTTGAAAACTTGTCCCTATTTTTATAATACTATTGTTCTTGCAAGAGGTTCTTAGAAGTGTAAATTAAGGAGCTTATCATCTTTACTCAGTTGGCCTTTAATAAAAATCAGTTCCTACAAAACTGCAAGCTCTCATTCCAAACTCTCTTTCAGTCAAATGTCAAGTAGTACTGGGAAAGGAAACAAACACATACAATGCAATTTCTAAAAAAGAGTTATAGGCCCTATTTCACATTCCTCAGCTCAAATCTCACCATTCTTAAAGCTATATCCTTGAACAAAGGTGACAATGATTGTAAATGTTTATTAATGCCCCCATTCAAACAGTTTAGATAATTTAGGATGTCAGTTGTTTCAGCCTAACAAGGCCAACTGCAGCTGAGCTGGATACTGCATCTTAGCAGAAAGCCAAAGCTGCTTTATAACAACAACAAAATACCATTCGAGAATCAAACTCATGTCCTTTGCACACCACAGCGAAGAGCCTAACCATCAACTCACAAATGTGGGTCAACAAAGGTGAGAATTAGAAAATTTTTTATGGCCGAACAAGGACAAATACTTTCAATGGGACTGAACCATGCTGTGAACTCACACAATATATTGAAGGACAAAATTCATTATTTCCCTTTTAGGTGACTGCATGTTGTTTCTTCTCAGAGCATTCATAGCATTTAACATATCAGTGTAAGCGAAACTGGTTTCCCCACGCAGCTGTATGTTACATACAGTAAAGTACGATACAAGCTCACAGCTCCTTTTAACATTATACATATTAATTACAACAGATAAGCCAATTAGCTAATACATGTCCTGACGTTCAGTACTACAGACAGAAACATGAAACCCATCTTCTGAGTCGACTAACGAGAGTTTGCACCAATCAGAGCAATGTTGAATCCCAAACAGGAGGTATTGAACTTGGAAAGCAGTGACACCGGAGGTACAGCCTTTTCAAAAACTGTACAATACACACTTTTTAGGGTAATGTTATTGTCTTTTATTGTCATTCCTGTCTTTCACAAAAATTCCCACCAGTCTGAATCTAAATGGGATATTCCTAAACATGACTCACCCAGAAGAGGTGTTCAAATGCAGGTCTAAAAAGTACTCACATGTAAAGTAGACGACCAGTAGAGGCCAAGAGAAAATGATTCATAATCTAACACAGACTGACACACTAGCAGACTGACACAAGAGCAGACTGACACATGGGCAGGCTGACACTTAAGTAGTATGCCAGAAGTCCAAGTGAAACAGGGCAGTAGACTTAAAATAGTTCAAATCTGGTGAACACAAAAAAAATCTGTACTGAAGCAGAACTTATTCTGCTTTAACCAAATGATGCTCCTCCTCCTTTTAAAAGTTAGCAATATTTCCTCCAAGCTTGCAAACAATGTTTCAGTATGTAATTATGGACGGAGGGGTTTTTCTGATGTAAATTTTCTAAACTTTGTTAGTTCGGCCCACATCAAACATCTGCAAAATGTTTAATTATCAGATTATCTGTCCACTAGAATGAACAAAATCAAAGTAGCTGCCTGAATGTACCTCAGAAATCTCATGGGTTCACATTTGTTTTGATGCTGTCTCACAAGATAGAAAGGAAAGCACTATAAATTTCACAGTGTGTATATGAAACATTCCCAACCCTTACTTTTTCATACTTTCAACTTGCCATCTCTCATCACCAAAAACTATTAATGTGAAAGCTTAATCAGGAATTGCAAAGCATCGACAGGACGTTAACACAAGTACAGAAGAAAAGTAAAAAGCTATCAGTAGCAACATTCAACGTGAGACATAACACTAGCAACAAGACACACTAAACAAAAGGCTCACATATCACTGGGTCTCCAAAATCAGTCATCAGACAGCAATTAAGCAGCAGTCGAAAATATCTCCACTCTTCACAAACTGTTTGTAAATAATATATGTACAAGCAAGTATAATGAGTTTTATTTGAGTATAAATCGAAATAACTATCTCGAAATGCTCTTGAGCAATAAAAAATAAAAGTTTACGTCACGACCCAGCATGGGCAAACACAATACTACCCTTGCTGTCTCTACTATTTTTTTCTGTTTATTCAGAAAATTTGGTACGAGACAGGATTTCAACAAGTCAACTGTTCAAAACGCTTCCTCGGTCAACATCTATACACGCATTCTTTCAACAAAAAGATGAATTTGACTTCTTTTATATGCTTCATTACTTACATTTTACAAAATTCAAATGCAAACAGTTCCAGGCAGTGGCATTACAACAAGTCTTTTTTTTGTCACTATAACAAGAATAAGATTACATTAACAGGTTTAAATAATTGAAGAAATGGAGCCACTTTGCTGCTTAAGACCACTGAAACTAAATTGTAAAATTTATAGTTTATTTCCAAGACAGGGTCCTACATTCCAAGCATAGACCTACAGCTAATACTCAATTTAGAATAATTTAATCCCCTTGAAGACTTAATACTCTTTCCAAGGGCACTAAGTGATAGAGCTATTTATAAAATTACCCTCCTCTCACCAACTCCATTTTTTTTTTTAAAACTTGGAATCATGGCACACTCAATTAACAAATCACACTGGGAGATTTAGCTTTGGTTTGCAAAAAAAAGTTAGGCTTTATTGGTTCACAACTGCGCCCCAAAAGACAAGATCTTTATTTTTAATAACTATAGAGCTTTTCTACTACAATAATCTTCACATAAAACTAGAAAAGGAAAGCCTGCGTTGGGACATACTTATGTCATATTATTCTTCTCAGGTGAAAACTGTGACTTATAGTCAAGCACTGACCCAAATACTGAGCTGCACAAGGCAGTGAGGGTACATACGGAAAAAAATGGGCTTGAAGAGAAATTAGATTAAACATAAAAACAATGATCACTAAAATTTTCCCATCAATCCCACATTTTCAATGCGCATATATTGGCAAAGGATGATTCGCAACAATCAACTGAAGTCATCATTTTCTGTCATGAAATGTTAAAAGATTATACTAGTAGAAATACTCCCGAATTCTCATCAAACAAGCATTCATACAACATGCATTGAAGAATTGAGTCTTTGTTTTGAAATAACATATATTCGCAAATTAAATCATTGTATAATATATCTTTTTCTCATAAATAAAACAAAATGCACAAGGATCAGAACTGAATGATCACAATTTCATGAAAAGGAAATAACAAAACAAAAAAAAAGAAAAGAGAAAAAACAGCACGTGGTGGAGATGGGCAGGGTCTGCAGTGGATAAATAGCAGGGGACTTGTGGGCTGTCATACTGACGTCTCTCTGAACACTCTGGTGGAGCTCTCGCCTTGTCGGATGTGGATGTAGCGTGTGGTGTCCACTTCAGAAATTTTCACTTGAGTGCTAGGAATGATGATATCACTGGTACCTGGAAGCGCAGACAACTCAGCTTTTGGAGTAGGGGCTGGAAGAGAAATGATAATGAAAGAGTAAAACAATGGGAATGCAAAGCATTGTAAACGTATTTGGCTGTGTTTTAAAATAAGTTCAAATGTAAGTGCTCCCATTACACAACAAATGCAAACACTATGATTTCATTTGGGCATCATGGTTTAGAATACAAACCCCATCTTTGATTATTGTTATATACCTATCTTCACTATATTATCAGTGCAAACATAATCTCCACTTCAACGAATCTCAACAAGAAAGCAAAAGCAAGTCAGCACCGCGTACCGAAATGACAATGTAATGATTTAACTAAACAGAAGAAAAAAAGAAACCTGTTTGCAGTGAGGAACAAATCTTGCTCCAACTGTGCTTCTTCCCTCAGAAATCAATTATTTTTCAAACTAACTAAACTGTAATGATCACTAAAGCAGACACAATCAACTCACAAACATGTTTAAACTATCCTATAAAATGCGCCAATGGACCACAACCACATGATTATCAAATTGTCAAGGGAAACCCTCCTTCACACAAAAATGTAACGATAAGTGGCCATTTGATAGATGGTCCTAAAACGAATTTTTTTCTTCAACTATAAAAAAGCAATCCTTTCTGCATAAAGGCCTAAAACTGGGTACTTTTGTCAGGAAAGAAAAACAGTTCCTGAAACAAATTGTTGGGTATCATGTCTTTTAAAGCAAAGACAAGATTTTTCAAATGTTCACTTGTAATCAAGAATTTATTAAATGGAAAACACATTCTAATTTTATAATCTTTATTTACTTTTCATAAGCACTAAGGAAACATTATCTTCAGTCACCATTTGTGCATGCAAGAAAGACCACGACCTCTTCTAAATGGCACATTTGAAACGTGTAAGACTGTCCCCCAGAAATGAATAGAGAAGTATGAAAAGATGTGCTCTTAATAAAAGCAAACAGTGTCAAGTCTGTCCAGCCATAAACACTTACTGCAAATAAGAAAAAAGTACCTCTACAATACTCAACTAGCCAAAACAAATGTGGATGGAATATGACCCGATTCACTTTACAAAAAGGAAACAACAACAACAGGTAAACAACTTCGACAGATGCTAATCAACAAAGAAACCCCGATGATTCAGATGAAAAGCTAACACATCTGAAGTGACCCAGAAAACGGTAGACAAAACTATTGAAAAGTAGAGCAAAGCCAAGAAAAAATTATCAATACATTGGTATACACAGTAATGTTGTTTGCAATATCATGGAGAGAGGGAGAGTAGAGACAACCTTGTTGTAACGCTGCATCTTCAATAACATAAGAACAAGATGTTACCATATCCACTTTGATATTGTACAACTTTCAATATAACCCCCTCATTCAGACTCAATGCCTCTAGAGCATATAAACCTGGAGAAGTAAGGGCAAAATTTCAAAACACCCAGACTGATAAGGCAAGAAATCATTTAATGTACTTCAAACTCGACAGGCCACTGAACAAAACAAAAAAATAGGCATACAACTGGAGAAAGCAGTTGGCTGTATCAAAACAGGACACCGTGTATCATATTTGAACATGCAATATGAAGCAGCTATCAGAGAAAATGCTTTAAAACACAAAGTGGTACAATGTTTTGAGAGGTACCACACGAAAACAGCAATCTGTCAAAGACAGACTTAGGTTGTCAATCAACATCAATTTCGATTCCCACAAACAGAAAATTATGACAGACTTGTAAACGCAATGGAAAACAAAACAGTACACGCTGAGTGAGGACTTCAAGAGCAATATTTCAGCTTTTACTAGCAAAGTCAAACCCACAGTGAGCAATAGGACAAGTAAGCATCGCTTTCACTTCATATTGTTTTTACAAGCAACAGTCTGGTACATTTAAACCTGATCCAAAAGCTTCCCTGCAAAAAACATTATAGGCTTATTGCAGGAGGCGACATAAAAAGGTCACTGTTAAGCCACTTCTTATCTTGATATTAATTAACAAACTAGAAACCTAGCCACAAACAAGTCTTTGAAAAACATCTGGAGAAGTCACACTAGACAAGTCATTCTGTGAGTTTAACTCAAAGAAACAGGCAAAGTCTTAAAATACTTTCTGACCCCAAAACCCAGTTCATGCCTCTAAGAAGAAAAAGAGAGCAGTCAAGGAACAGAGCCTACCAAGAAGCCTTACAGAAAAAGCTTCCCACTAATGTCTGTCAATGAGCGCTTTCAAAACTCCACTTTTCATTGAAGCTTTACATAAGCAGTATTTCACTATTTTAAAAAGCCGCGAAAATAATAGAGCTGTGAAATTAAGATTATTCTACAATTTAAAATACTGGTCTAGGCCAAGATATATAAGTTTTAATATCTTTTTTAAAAGGAGGGAAAAAACTTCTTTCCCATTTCAAAAAGGAAAAAGTTTTAAAAGATTTCACAAAACTTTGGGAGATAGCAGCCAGGACTACATAAATTGGAGCATGCAAAGAACGAAGAACAAAAAAGAACCAAATATTGAACAGATAAAAAAGCAAACATATGAAAGCTGCCAAGGAAGGAGATAACTGACATAAAATGTGACAGTCAAAACATTCTGGGCACGGGTGAATGGAGGAAATGAGAGTACATAAAAAATAAAAAACAAACAAACAAAAAACCACCATGCATTGAAATGATAACAAACAGAAAACAGCACATTCTTTTACAGTACGCAGACACCAAAGTATCACAAAATGATCTTCAAAAATCTGAAACAGGATGAAAAGGAGGAAGACTGAAATTGATTGGGAAGGGGGGAAAAAAGGCTAAATACACAACAAACAAAAAAACCAATCTAATATTTTATATTAGAAGAGAAATGCTGATATGTTACAGATGTAAGTCTAAAATGACAGCACAGAAAAAAAAAACTTCCAAGTTAAATCAAATAACCTTTTTTTAAAAACAACTGGATAACAGCTTAAGTCTGAGTTTGTAGGGAAAAAAATTTCATGAATATTTAACACTGAAGAGATAAAAGAAAATGAAACAGCAAGGCAGTATAAACAAAAGCATACTCAGCCTTCCAAGAAGCATATGATCACTTAAATGTACACAAGTATAAATCCTGCCCATTTCAAGAAGCATATGGGTGAACCTCGACAGAAATTACTCATATAAATGGCATATCTAACCTTGACCAGGGCTTTTTGTTCCCCATTATGAAATGAATCAGATACTTTATTTCTAAATTATTCTTTTGGGAAGAAAATAATAACTGCCCTTGGCCTTCAAAACCTTCAACTTTGTGAAGATGATACACATCAGCAGTTAAAAACAATTCATCAAAGCCTATTACTGGTAATGATACGATCAAAGAAGACACCATGATGCCTGGCTGCCTTCAAGGCAACACTCAGAAGACAGTGTTTGCTCATTGTACAGATTGACAAATGTTCTGCATCTCCTTGGAGGGGGGGGGGGGCTGAGACAGTAAATTTAAGTGAATACATTGGCTAAGAGTGTTATAGTAAAGTCATAGGGGACCCAAGACTATACTATAAACTATTACTGTCACCAACACAATGCACCTTTAGAATCTGTCCGCAAAGCTTCCAAGGAAAAACAAAAGGCAATTTGGCAAACTGAACACTGAATATTCATTTGTTTCTCTGATACACCAAAGGCTTCATAATAATGACAGGACACCTACCTCTCCACTTGAAAAATAAATTCTTAAACACCACTACCAATGATTTTCATAAGAAGAAAGGAAAAAATCGTTAATCATTAAGTCATTATAATTATTCTAAACTGATGGTAAGCAGCTTTTCTTTTTATAAAAATGTACCAAACCTAAATATTTCAAAGGCTATGATAAAGAAGTGACTTTTCTTTAAGAAATGAAAAATTCCACAGCACATCAGTAATTGATTTTAAAAATGTTCACTTTGCACTTCGAAGTCAACTACAAATATACAAGTATGCAAAAATGTCCATCTATTTCCTTCTCAAAACATTTGTGTTTCATTTTTTGTGAGCTACAACTGATTGTGTGTGAGAACACCAACCCTTGAGTGTGAGTGTGAATGTAAGTGTAATTCGTACTACATCTCACGTGTGTGCCCATCAAGGAATTTGACATACTATGCCAACAAGGGCACAGGCTAAGAATCCTGTCCACAGCACATATCTTAAAAGCGACAGTGGGTGGCAGCAGGTCTGTCTGTCACCATGGTAGCTTGACCAAACTTTCGGTTAGTAAGAACACTTTACCAAAAAGACATTTGTTATCTCTATGTGAGAACGAGGTACTTTGACTACACTGAAGTTAAAGCTCCAAGTCATTGAAAACCTTTTAGAAGCAGCTGTATACATCAGATATACCTCTTGTTATAGGACTATGAAGAAAGATTACACTGAAAATATATTATTTATGACAAGGATGTTACTAGAATGATGTTGTCTGTTGTGGCAACAATTTCTTTTTAAGTTGCAAAAGGTTTTTCTGCAAACGGCTTTAGTTCATAAATTAGTTATCCGAGTATTGCTAAAAAAAAGCTTGTTAGTCATTATGAAATGACAAGAATTACTCCCTATATGAAAAATAAAATATGCCGATGTCTGCAGCTGAAGCCAGGTAATGAAGATATGAGAGAAAAAAAAAATGGGGGCTGATATGAGATGAAGTAAATAAAGAAACTGAAAAACTTACACAACAGAACAACAGCGAAAATTGTAGGGAAGAGTCAGGATTTATAGCACAACACAGCGACAACACCCAGCAGAAGATGCCGAAGCCTCAGTGTCAGCCTTCTCACTGGCCTTGTGGGCTGGGGCTGGGCCAGGCTGGCTGTTTGACACAGGGGTGCAGGGGCGAGGTGGGGGACAGTCCACATGCACTTCACCACTATGCTCAGCAAGCAAAACAACATCCAGGGGCTTCTCGCCAACATCTCCACAATCAACTTGCTCTCCTGGCTTGAGGCTCAATCCCCCTGCCCCACTACTTTGCTCAGCTGCAAAACTTCCAGGGGACTTCATCTCTAAGGTTATGCCCGAGTCACTTGTAATGGTGCTCTCTCCCTGACCATCTGACAGTTTGGAGAAGGAACTATTTTGATTATTGTTGGCCTCCGTGGGGAAGAAATTTTCCTTCCCAGAGACAGAATTCTTAAGCTTTTCTTCCTCATTGCCCAACAGACAACCTGTACTGACATTTTCAGTCTTTGAGTCACCTTGAGAGTAGTCTGGACGTACATCTCCACCTTCTTCAGAAGGATAATCCTCTGAGGAAGAGCTGTGATGGCGACTGCGAGGCCGCCCTGGCCATTTGAGGAGAACCTTCTCCATCCTACAAACTTTTCTAGCTACGTCTTGAAACGACGGTTTCCTAACAACACCAGGACCAGAAGCTGATGCATCCCCCTCCAAGCTCCTTTTATTCTTAATGCTAGCCCTAAACTCAGGGATTAGGTCATTTTCTTTTTCGAACACAGCGTAATCATGTATGTTAAGCCTGGAAAGGTCAAGATTGACTCTGTTTAAATCAAGGCCACCCACGGGTTCACCATTAATAGACAGAGTGCGAGTGCGTTTTCGCTCAAGCACAGGAAGAGAGTTGATTGTTGGAGACTCTGGCGCCACTGATGACAGCCTGTTACCTTTTCCAGGTTTCATGTGAACAGCAAGATAAACCGGCTGGAAAAGAAATAAAAATTAAAAGCAAATAAATGGGAGAAAGCAAAATAAACTGTAAAGTTCATTTTAAAAAAGACACACTTTATGATACTCTACAACTGACGACCAGAGAAACTGAATGAGGGCTTGCTCACCACACCTGTATCTATTAAAAAAATTTTGATTCAGAGATCAAGACGCTACAAACCTCTTTTCCAGTTTAAATAGTGTTCATTGTTCTTAAAACAAATAACAAGGGAAAAAATGATACCTTAAGACGAGCAACACTAAAGAGCACAAAAACAATCAGTAATATAATAAATAAATAATCTGAATGCTTTAATATGCTATAGTACGTGGACATTTCCCATTGCTTAATAAAATGCCCACCGTTTGTAATTAGCTACAATGTGTAAGAAAAAAGAACACCATATTTACACATAAACCAACTTCCGGAAATTATGAACATTATCTTATACCTTCAACAATCTATTAATAATGTGAGGTTGTTTAAGAACAATGGTTCAGGAAATTTCCGCCGACTTCATCTAGAAAATGTGTCTGCATAGAGCGTACATGTTTGAGTTACATTCTCGAGATAAAGTAGAAGTGAGGAAATAATAAAAGAGAAACACAAAAACAAAGCAAAACAAAAGATGAAACAACAAACATTTTATTAAATAAGATAAAAATGAAATGAAAAAACAACAGGATAAATTTGTAGAAAAGAGAAGTACATTGATACAAGAACTGTCAATCAGTGAAGGGAAAGAGTAAGAGAGACAGATGATAAAAAGGGAGAGAAAAAAGTGGGACCAACTGGTGGTGCCGTCCAACCACACAGACAAAGAAAGAATTCACAGTCCATACAAAAGATATCTTTACAGTTATGTTCATAAATTGAACAAACTTCATTGAAAAACCTGAAAGCCTCACAGCAAATACACAATATCCAACTGACAGATATTACCTATCAATATATTTATTGCATATACCATGAATTCTCGCCCGATTCTGTCACCTTTAGTTAGCGTGACTCAGCAGCCCGCCGGAGCTTCCCGGCTCAGGGTCACGCGGTTAATGAACCCTGAAGCGAATTTGCCGCTGTCGGTTAAGAAGTTCGCCTTTTTGTCCACGTTTGAAACGATATAACTTCTTCCCCATTCCATACAGCAAACCATTACGCGTAAGTTCTAAAAGCTCAATGTCTTTAGATTTATTCTGCGTTGGAACGGTTAATTTCTGTGCCTTAGTTGTTCTAGATATGTGTTTGTAGAGTACCCAATATGTCCTATTTTAGTTAAATACTTATGAATAGTTATTCTTTATTTTAAAAAGGCACGACAGATCTCTCCAAAATCTGTGTTAAACTGACTACAAATATCATGTCTTTTACCATGAGAAATCTTAAATCTGCGGGAGTAGTAATAGTCAAGTTATAAGAGAAGAAAGATGCACATCTGCATATTTTAACTAAAGACACTCAGCGTTAGCTCTTGTTCTACCAAAAAACAAGAGAAAGTAACTCTATGTTTGTTCATGAATCATGCTGTGTCTGTGGCAGCCTGCATACATCTAAGAAAGATATATTATAAGATTCTTTTTAAACACAAAAGTGTGTTTAATAAATGGGAAGAGATGAACTTCTTGTATGGAATAAAAATAATGACAGCTAACATTCACTCTCAGCTTTTGTGTCGGACAAAGGCGCAGACACTTATGAATGTAAAGAAATCAAAACATTGTCAGTTATTGAAAATGGTTATAGAAACGCAAATAACAGCTGGAAAAGCCTGGTTCAGTGTCACTGGAAAGCTAGAAATTATTCTAATAATACAATCACGAGAAGTCATCCCTGTTATTCAGTCAACTTTCAAAACCTAGATCTAGCATTTTAAGAAAAATAAGGAATAATTTATGTATCTGATAGCCTATTGTTCGTGTATTACATTGTTGTAGATGTATTCTGGCACTAAAATCGGTTTGCACATTTTTTCACAGAGAGACATCAGGGTAATTTTGATAAACTTTAGAGAAAACATGCCAATATTCCTAATTATATAAGACACATAAAGTTGTATTTGGAGGAATTACTTCATAGCGAATAGTGTGCCAGATGGATAAAGTTGCAAAATTACAGCTTCCTATTATACACGCAGGTACCAACTTTTCTGAGCATCTGCACCAATGCTATGTCGTTCATGTTCCAAAAGTTTGACAGTTTTTGTCATGCTTTTTATTTTATATTGATTTTTTTTTCATTCACACCTGTACAAAAAATTTTACAATTTAGCATTGCCGACTTCAGCGCGTCTAACGAAATAACCAGACAAGTTACAATGTCTGTTGTTTTTTGGGTCTCAAGAGCAGAAATGAGTGCTTTGGGTGCATTAAATGATAATTACCATAAATACAAGGATACACCTAAAACTGTACGTTGGAAAGTACCAAAAATGAAGTCAGCCCAGAGTGGCGACAGGGAGCTGACCCCCGTGACCCTGACGTGATAAAGCGCTCGGCGGGGACACCCAATAAAACTAAAATTTCACTGCCGGTGCACCGTGATACAAGTACTACTGTAGCATATTTAACAGTCGAGAAAACTGGATACAAGTTTCAGCATATCTTGACAAAACCAAATGTAAGCTACAAAGTGTCACATATCTCAAATAAGAAGGAAATTATGAGATGGACTTTTTTTTCCCTCAGTCATTTCGAAGTCCAGAGGTTATAACTTCCAGCTGTTTTTGAGCTGCAGTTTATGTTAAAACAGAAGAAAAACAATAACATTATGTCAGGACCATATTCAGACAATACTCATATTGAAAAGAAATAGAAGGAGCAGACTACACCTATCCACCACCTGGGATTTTATGGCTGTGGAGCAAGTTCAACAGTCAAAACATTCAACACTTCTTCTAGAGAAAAAAACCCAATGAAAATAACAATTACAGGAAAACATAATTTCCACCATAAAGAAGTAGTTGAGTTTACCCTACAGACAAATAATGTAGTTCTCTCACCTTATGATCCCCCATGCAAACGTCTTTGCCTATCAAATCATAGGCTGCTGCATTAGTGGCATCCTGTAACAAGAAAAGCAAATACAACTGACAATGCAAAATAGTAATTCTTCAGCAGCAGACATACTTTATCTCATGAATAGCTTATAGTATAATCACAGATGAAAGTTGACTCGAAAATCTAAAAAAAAACAACAACAACAAAAAACCACATCAAGAGTAAAAGAAAACGAAAAATTCCATAGAAAAGTTGAAACACGGATCAACTTTTTCATGCAAGTGTGACATCTGATCATCTTCTTACCTTAGAAAAATAACCAACGAATTATGGACGCTAATCGCTGACGGTAAGAAGCCTCACCTTTTCCCCACGGGACGTCGATCGGCGACGATGTGATATAGCAGGTATCGCATCTGTATCCTGGCCCATGAGGGTAAGTGTTGCGTGCTCAGGGTGGATAGTATTAAATCTCACATTCAAAGCAAAACTAATTTGTAAATGGCTGCCTCCTATTGGGATTGCTTTGAAAGTGCATTTTTGGTTTGAAATTTTGTGAAAACTGATTATGAAACGAGCGATTGATGAACTGAGCACTTCGAGGTTCTTCACAGTTCAACAGGAGATGCATACTTTGGCTGATTCAGACTCTTCACCAAAAACATTTTGAGGTGTAATTAATTGCGGTTCACACTGAATGTTGCAACCCTAAGCAAGATGAAGTCTGAAAAAGAGCCATCCAGAATTCCCTTTTTTCTCTCCTTTCTTTGGTTGTTCCCCACCTTCAAGATTTCAGCCTCAGTGACCTTGGTGAGAACTCTTGGTTTCAGTTTCCAGTACAGACCTGATTGAGTATATCCTTGACAGAATGTGTCAGCAAAACTCGGTCACACCATGAGGGAACTCTCGTTTTCATGTAGGATATGCCATCAGCAACATCTTCACAGAAAGGGTAGCTGAAAGAAGGATAAATTTACAAATGGTAAATTTAACAAAAGCACTTACAGCAGGACATATAGAGACAAGAAGAGCTGAACATTTACAGCACAGTTATTGTGAAAAACATATTTTAGTCATATAACCACAAAACTGTTACTCTTTATAGAAAAATAATGCTCTCAAGTCAAAACAATGTTAGCTCCCTAGCTCACCGCCCCCCCCCCCCCCCCCCCCCCCCAATCCCCTCCGCACAAACACCTATTCCAATTAGAAAAAAAAAATCTTTAATAAAAAAAATTAACAAAACTGCACATCTAAATTAGTTGCCACAACATGTATCTACTTCTATAAGGAAAAAAAGTCTCTCTCTCTCTCTCCTCTCAGTCTGTCTGTCTGTCTGTCTATCTGTCTGTCTCTCTCCATTTGTGTCTCCTGGGGTGTAACATTTAAGATGCTTCACCATCCCACAAAGAAGATGCGAGTTCCATTCCTGCAAGGGGACAGTCTTTCATTCAGGATCTCCAACTGTTTGCCAAGACGTTGAAAATCTCAACTGGGCTTGGCCCTCACAGGCAGCCCACCCACTAAATGATCTAAATTGTGTGAGTGTGTGTGTGTGTGTGTGGGGGGGGGGGGGGGGCCTTAAGACATCTAAAATCACAATTCATCTCTCTCTCTCTCTCTCTCTCTCTCTCTCTCTCTCTCTCTCTCTCTCTCTCTCTCTCTCTCTCTCTCTCTCCCTCTTTCTCTCTCCCTCTCATACTCTCTCATTTTCTCTCGCTCTTTCACTCTTGTTCTCTCTTCCTCCCTTCCTCTCTTTCTCTTGCAAAATATACAATTATAGATCAGGACACGTTTCTACCTTGGGGAGAATGAAATATCAAACTCAAAGAGTCGATCTCTGAAGGAGGAGAATTCTGTATCAAACTGATGCAACTGAAACAGAACAAAACCCAGAAATGTCCAAATCAAAAAGCTCTCTTCACTGAACTATTTTCAAACACACTGTTAAAAAAGAAGAGCACCACAATACTAAATTCGATCCACTACGAAGAAGTTCACCTGAAAATGCAGTCTTTCCAAAAAACAATAAAATAGGAATACAGCCAGGTTCATGAACTATGCGAGTGGTATTTATGTACTAGCCCACTATCATCCTTTCACAGCAATTACTAAAATGAGCCTCTTGCCAGGGGAAAATACAAGCAATTACTTTGAGCTCTACACCGCACTGGGCTGTGTGTAAAAGCCCTGCCTGGACACAGCCTGCACAGCTCTACCTGCCACATTCATGAACTGGGGCACTTAGCTGGCTACAGGTCATTCACAAAATGGAAAGCAAATGTACAATTGTCTGCAGTGACTGCAGTGAACAACATTCCACCCTCAGGGCTTAACAGACTGGTCATTTGGTTTGGCGGTGTTCTAGTACTGATCAATATTCTCTTTTCAAAAAGAATATTGAGGCATCACATGTTATTCTATATTTATCTGCAACTGGCTCTCAATCAATTCAAACTACTCAAAAGTTAAACTCCCTGTGATTTTGCAGAGACCAAACTTGAGACTTCTATATTTAAAAGTAAGTGTCAAAACCTTTAGATGAATAAAGTTGTTTTTTTAAGGAAGTAACAATCTACCAGATGCAGATAGGCAGGTCCACAGAGGAGTGAGTTAGAACCGACAAAAGATGTCACCCTTACATCAGACACATTTTGGCATGTGAGTGGCACCCCAATAGCGGAGACAATGAGTAGTCCCCTGTTGGAGGTTTGAGGATAATTCCTATCCCTGTAACTTGTGATTGACGGGAGTAAGAAAACAAATTTAGTTTTTTACAATTGACTCCGAAGAATTCAACACCTGAAAAAGCAACAAGCAATATAATGCACCATACAAAGAATGAAACTGACTGTTTCTACTACAACAAGTTTGAAGTAAGAACAAAATAATAAAGATAAATATTATCTTTCACTGACAAAATATTTTGGTCCTCAATCGCCAATCTGAACTTCAAAGGTTAATAAAGCATACCCATTTGTTCATGTTGGCAAACAGATCTGTGTGCTTTTCGTAGTAGTCAAAACTCTTGCTTCCAATAGTCAGAACAATCTAGAGATAAAAAAAGAAAGCATTAGTCCCATTTTTGTCACCACAATAACAATGTAGGTTCAATTTTCTAAATCAAGACAACAAAATAAAACAACAGTTCACTCAATAACAACCACAGATTAAAATGTTGCAGCCTGAGAAGAAGTTTGCCTTGACCCAATCTTTCAAGCCTCCCTTACTTAGATAACAAAAATTAAAGCCTTGTCTCTTAAGTTACGACTCTCAAAAATGCTGGTTCATAAAAATAAAAAGCCCATTAATTTACTTTTTAAAAAATCAGGTTTACAGTACCGTGACAACTTATTTTTCTCACCTTTCCATTTCCTTCCTCTGTGTACTCAATTTTGTTCACCTGGTCCTTTTTACCCTTTGTCTGGCACGCCACTAACTTTCTTGTCAGTTCCTGTTTTGGAGAGTATCACAAAATAACAAAATTATACTGTGCAAGTCATAACTCTGACAAAACAAATATCATTGGCCAGCTGTAATAAGCCCGAAATAAAGTGAAATTTTGAATTTTTTAAAATTGCACTTTCTTAATCTGTTGTATTGGTTGCAAGAACTCGAGAAATATTTTGTCAAAATTCAAATTTTATATAAATTTTAAAAAGCAAAAAGGAGATACACAATATGGCTACAATGGCTAAAAGAAAGAAACAGCTCTCCTGAAAAATTTAGCTTTTCATGCTTAGAACATTTGAACTGCTTGCCGAAAATATGTGCCCCTTTAAGTCTTAATGTCTAAGATTAGTATGCCCTGACTCTCTTTTAAAAAACCTGAAACATGTTGATATAAAATATTACAAAAATATCACATAATGTGGAGCTGGAATTTACTGTGACTCGGCACAATGGAGACCACAATTTAGAAGAACAGCTAAACACAACAGCACCACAGAAGAAGTCCCAGACCACACACCACAAGTGATCTAACTGAAACTATCTTGACATTTAAACTGAACTTCAGCTTCCATCACAAAAAAGATAAGCTCAAGTGATATGTAGAGATCATCAAAAATTATCTTAAGGAATGAAATAACATAAGTACATGTACTAGGCATGATCAGTTAACTTGCAACTTGATTTACTTTCTCTTCAACAAGAAACTGGAATGATTCCCAAACAAAAACTAAGGAAACAACCAGTGCTCAGAACTTTTATTTTCTGCCATATTTCTTTAAACCACTATTTCTCATCCCATTAAAGCATTCATAAATTTGTTCTTAATTCGCACCCTTCTAGTTGGAAAGTCATTGGTCAATTAGTCCCCATGCAGCCATATTGTATACAACATACATAAATTAAAAAGACCTGGCAGACGTGTAAGCAAAACAGTTTTGAACACCTTGCTCTCTTTTTGCAGATGTATGTGCAACTTTATCAGGTACATAACCTTCTTCATCTGGAATGCCTTTAAATAGCAGGTATAGAAAAAAACCCACTGGCAGTATACCAAAAAGAAAGACCTGAATTGGCAGCTAAAAGAAAGAAAAAAAACACCCTGACCTGTCACCAGGGTGCTTGGCAGTTTTTGTCTTCGTGTTGTAAATTATCAAATCAATGATTTAAGCAAATATGCTTATGGGAAATCTCACAGTATACAAAAGAAGCATATGGGCTGCTGGCGGGTGCTTTGGTATGGCTTACTCCTTCTTTCCAATCAAACATGAATCACCCTTATCTCTCTTCTTCCTTATATTTGTATGTTACTGTCTACTAACACCTCTAATTTAAAAAACTCTAAAAATAGGTCTCTAATAAGTAGATGATCAATATAAAATGGAAAAAAAATACCAGAGAAGAACCGCTCTTTCGTGTTTGAGAGGGGGGGTTTCACTGATGGCTAAGACATGAGAGCAAATTACTGGCTGTTTCCTTTGAAATTACGATGGACATCATTACAAGAAAAGAATATAGTTGAAACAAAATCCTGATCAACAAATTTTTCATTTGATTTTTAAAAATTTGGTATTGTTCAAGAGCACCTTAAGAAGTGAATACAAATCGAACTTTAAAACTGAAAAAGTTGTTGGTCTTGAACTCACCTTAATAAGAATATTGGAGTCCAAACGAAAGTTGAAATCTCCAAATATGAACAATGGAACTTTGCTGTATTTATCATTTTCAAACCTGGGGTGAAAAAAGCATGTCCTTTAATATTTCAAATAAAAGTTATAAGCAATTAGAGCTGCACAGCCCCAAAGAGTTTAGAATGATTTTATACCTTACCAAAATTTTGCCTTAAAGACAGAAAAATATATTGAATTCTAATTTATATATGTTGAATTAATTATATCCTTAGACATAAGAAGGCAAAGTGGAAGATTATAAGAATTCCTTTTTTCTTGGTTTGGTGAAGTAAGCTAAATAGGTGAAAGACACACAACCCATGTCTATTATCCAAAATATCCACCAATCATGTCTGTATAAAATCAAGATCAAGTCAAGTACATCAGCATGAGAAAAATAGTCATACTTCTACGCTTTAAAAAAAAAAACCCTTACATTCGTATTAAGGAACAAACCAATGAGCAAAAATAATATATAATACTCTATCTTTACTTTACAGAGAAGAGTACATGATTCTGCACAAGAGCAAAATCACATGATTCTACACGATTTTGAAAGAACAAAACAAAACACAAAAACTGCAAATAGTAATACAATACTTATCACAATGTTTCATAACAAAACTAGTAAAATAAATGACGGTATCATGTTTCCCTTTACAAATTTCTCTCATACTATAAGACAGAGCAAACTGATTACTTCAATACCTTTGTAATGTATGTAATAAAGCTCTTTGTCGGTTTCCTGAATACACCGAAGGGCTCTGGAAATAAACAAAAGAAACAACATGATTTCAACAACAGAGAAAGTTATAATGCTCTATCCTTTTTCTTCTTTTTGTGTGACAATAAAATGAATCAGATACTGTGTGCCCCCAACCACACAGTAACTGCCTCCTTTTTCTTCAGGGAAACTGTATTCGGGGGCTCTTGTGGCCTAGAGGTTAAGCCTCTCATTCAATAGGTCCCGGGTTCGAATTCGGATAGCAATGGAAAATTATCTTCTCTAAAAATGTTCTCCTTTCACATCCTTTCCTGCTCTCTAACAATGTCCTGTCGTCTCCTTTTGCCTTCACTTTCCGCTCGCAACTGCATAAGGTCATATGAGCGCCAAGGGGTGGATGTCAACAGAGAAGTCCATATAGGGATTCAGACTTACTCTGCTCACCTCTCTAGCTTCAACAGTACAAAGTCTTCTTTGACTATCAAGGCACCCCGGAAATAACAGGTTACAAGAGAGTGACAAACATACAAAAAGAAGTGGAGGAAAATTGACGATAGTAAGGATTAGGAAAGAAAAAGCAGCAGTTCCCTGTACGCAGTTCAGGCACAGTTATGAGCATGACACAGATCAATCAGCCCATTTACAATTCTAGTAAGCATAAGAACATGTTAATGTCCCCCCTTTGGGAATGGCCTAAAGACACTTCAGTCAGTAGCACCGCCCCGGAGGGCTAAATGAACTTCATTGAGTCGATGACATTAACATATACAATAAATCAAATACTGTACCCTATATCATACTATTTCATCTGATAACGCAGAGCCTAAATGCACCACACAAATTATATACAAGACTTTTGTTATGATTTCTGAGACTTTGTCAAAAAATCAGCATTATAAACTGTCATCGAAAATCCAAGGGCAGATACAGGATAACGAGCACACTGCACGTAAAGTCATTAAACATACACGGTCCAAAAAGACAGAAAAAAGTACTTTTAGAAGTTGAGGTAAAAATAATAAAAACATCTTCAGGAGCTTCTCAGAGAAAAAGGCAATAAAAGCAGTACTTTGTAATGATAATCAAAAGAAAAATTCTGAGGAACTTATTAGAATTCGGAATGATGTTAATTCTGGAAAAGACACAAAATCCACAACTTACAGACTCCATTGCAACAATGTTGGAGGCATCATGGAAAAGATGAATGTTTACAAGGTCAAATATACTGGAAAAAAGAGAAAAAAACAGAAAGGAAATTAAAAAATCAAGACATAAACAATTAAACCTTACAAGTACTTTCACAATTAAACAATATAAATGGATAAAAGTCAATATACGAGTACAATATACAGTTGTCTGACACTAACTCCTCCCCCCCCCCACCCCAGGCAACAATATAAATTTTTTTTAAATTAAAAAGTCACAAATCTAACTTCAAATGACACTGAAGATACACGAGCACAAGTTCCAACCTCAGCTGCCTTTTGCCTTCATAAAGAGGTAATAACCATTTATTTTTTTTGCTACTACTTACATCGTGATTGATAAGAGTAAAATGAGCATTGCATAAGCTTGACTCGTTTACAGGAATGTTGTATTATAATATCGTTCTCACAGAAGTAGACATTTGAAAGGAAAATTTTTTCAAATTCATTTCCATACGAACAGCAACACTGAACAACTTAGATGTATAATTAGAACATGACAAGAAGTAAATCACAGTACCAGTTATTAATGCTCCATCGGGTTCTTAGGAAGCCTTTGCGTGACCATTTGAACTGAAATAAAGGAGAAAAATAAAGAAACAATACTTACAATTTTCATAAATACCCATTATATTTATTTTACACAGACTTTACTTTTTAACAAAATTATTTTTAAAATGGCAATAAAAACAACCACAAAATAAACTCCACTGAAATTCGTCAAATATTGTCCAAATAACTCTAGATCTAGGTTAATTTTTTTTTTTTTTAAACAGTACAATCCTAAGGTGATCACATATATATCAGCTGATTAATGTAAAATTTTGCCATGTGACATTTTGAAAAGTGATGTATGATAGAGTCTTACACTGAACAGTCAATGAGACCTTAAGTCCTAATGCTTAGTCATAGTCATACATATATAACTGAGAAAATTCAATCAGGCATACCTCTGGGAAGAAATACTGTGGAAACTTTGCTTTTTCTTTGATTGGAACATTTTCAATATTTCCTGAGAGCACCTGCAACCGAAATTCAGAGAACATTTATTGAGGGTGGGTCATAAACAATGGTGGTATTAAATAATCCTGTTCACTGAAAAGTGAAGCAAAATGTTCCAACAAAACAAAGAAAAAAGAATGACAATATCCGCCATTGCCACCAGAAGGATTTCCCTCTCTGCTTAAAAGGGAAGTGGACAGTAGTTTTCCCAAAACCAATATTAGTGAAAATATAAATAAGTACACAGACACTAAAACGGCCATTAACAGCAAGAAAAAAACAAGACCAATGACTGAAACTAAAAACAACCAGAGTTTAAGATGATAGCATTTCAGAGGTGCTCATCATTACATTCAGGAATTAAACCCCACGAAAAATATTTGAGTCATCCATTTCTGATCATGTGCTGCACACCGCACTGAGAGAGAAGGGAGCATATCACAGAATAACTATATCTTAGTCTAAATATCATGACATGACCTATTTGACATTTTTTTTAAACTTCCATTGTTATTGTGCATGTCTCCACTACTCCCCCATTTACCATTCCCTCCCTTCACCCTTTCCCAACTATCACCCCCCCCCCCCTCCAAAAAAACAACAACAAACAAAAGAAAAAACCATCCAGACAACAACAACATTGCACATACGTATATTTGCACACACACATACACACACAATCTCATATACAAATGCACTCTCATTTACATCCACTTACACACACATACTCACTCACACTCTCTCTCACACACACACAAACATACACGCTCACACACAGCGACAAGTCGTTACAGACACAACTCCCCCCCCCCCCCACACACACACACACACATACGTGTCCTTACACACACATAAAATAGTACACGCATTAACATGCATGCTCACTCACTCACTCACATACACACACACACACACACACACACACACACACACACACACACAAACACTCACACACAAACAAATAAATCAAGCAGTCACCGTCTAAACGGAAAGAGGGCGCAACCACTCCACCATTACTAAAAAGCCACTTTTAGAAGACAGAGACCCTTTTGTAGGTACAGTCGATACAGGCAAGCTGCTCCCTCCCTCCGTTCCCCGTTTTCCCAGGAGGATTATCTGGTTCTTTGCCCTCATCAAGGCGCTGGTACAGGCGGCTTGCAACATAAACACAGACACCTCCCTTATGCGAACATTAACTCTCAAAAGGTCTTGCTCTTACCAAGTCCCCGGAGAAGCTTACCTCTCTGCCTTCTACCTCCACAAACTTGCAATCTGAAATGATAAAGGAAAAAAACCCCACAAAAAGTAAGACGTCAGACATTTTACATGAATAAAGCAATAAAGTTTTAGGCTGTGGGAAACTTGAAAACTATTGAGTCTGAAGTAACGACTGTTTAGGTTCTAGTTTTAGTATGTTTGACGGCACTAGCAACCCATATAAATGCTGAAGATTAGACGTATTACTAGAGAATAACAGAAAAAAGGGGGGGGGCAGCGAAGGGAGAAGAGATAAGGATGATAGATGGATTGGAAAGGAGCAAACCACACCAGAGCACCACCAACTACCCAGTAAGTGTCATTATGACCATAGATCTGACGTGTATGGTCCTCAAAGTGCATGGCGGATTGAGTATAAAGCTCTGTAGACACGGAAAGGTTGTATCTGGGGCGGGGCTACACCCGGCAAACAAAGAAAAGCCACAAATACGTGGACTCAACTAGGACTCAACTACTGTCAGAGCACTAAACTGCTGGTGGTTTGGTTTGAGTAAAAACAAACACATTGACACATCAACGGTCATTTAGTGTGACGAAAAAGTAAGTTTAATTTTAGTTTTTAGTAAGAGTTTAAGGGCACTTGCAACACAAATAGTTCATATTATTCATTTAAATGCTGAAATTTAGAGGTGTTATTCGACGGTAACATACAAAGAAAAGAAGGAAGGGAGATAGGACAATACATTCTGGATAAGTAAGAAGGAGCAGGCCACACCTGAGCGTCCGCCAATTACCCACTTCTTTGGTAAAGATGCGTACATCGACATAACAATTGACAACTATTGCGGGGAAAAAACTAAGAGAAGTTTGTATCTGTATTTGGGTAAAAAGAAGCATATCGACACAATAACGGTCATATAGTGCAGGGAAGAAGTAAGAAAGATAGACAGGAACAACAGGGGAAAAGAAAAGAAATAGGACCTACCAATTGCTTCCACCAACCACCTTCAAAGTAAGAGACAGACAGAAACAACAGAGAGAAAGAAAAGAAGAAAAACCTCGTACAATGGTGCAGATCAACTGAGGTACGGATCCAGCATCATCAACAAATTTAAATGGCAACGTTCATTTTGCGCTAGGGAAAAGGGTAAGACAGAGAGAAAGAAACGACACGTGGAGAGGTCGTTTTTTAAAAAATTAATTAAGTAGGACGAACCGGTGGCGCCGTCGGGCCTCACGATAAAGAACTCCGACAAATCGGCTGATTTATAACAATTGACAGCAAGGAGGAATTGAAACTATGGAGCAATATGAAAGGGATATGATACAACCAGTAACCCCCCCCCCCCCAATCCAATTTACCCTTTCAAATCACCAGATGATATGAAATTATTTTTTTTAAATTCACCCACGAGTGCAATTGTGAGTAAACGTACGTGCGGATATTCACAAATGACGATAAAACAACACAAAAAGGGAATTTTTTTCAAGGTAAGACATATTTCTAGGCAAAAAAGAACGTTAGCTGATACAAGAACCTGCATGTGCCATGAAAGGCAAAGTGCTATAGGATACCATCAATCAGCAAGTCAAGTTCAAAATTATGGCAGACCGATAGCCCAAGAATAAGGAAACTATGACGAACACAGAAAAAACCCAACAACTCAGGACCAAATAATCTCCCCATAGTCGGAACAACCGGGAAGTGGAGCCAAAAATAGCCTGATCAATACACCACACGGTAGGAACACATCAATTTATGCATCTGTACAAACAAAACAAAACAAAACCGCTCTTATTTTACTGCTTTTTTGTTCTTTTTATTGTTGTCGTATGACAGACAATTCAGACAAGGCAAAACGGCAGTGCAGAAAAATAGAAACATTACTTTAAAGTATTTCAGGTAGGCCTTTGTCTTTAAAATATAATGTCAAAAAAATCCGAGGAAACAAATAGAAAGGGGGGG